GGAAGTCCCTATTCCTTGCATTCCACACTTATAGTGATGGAATTTCTTAGTAGGAAGCCCGTATACCTTCCCCCATTTTGGACCGCCAGCAGCCTCCGTCCACATTCTTTCAGCATCCTCGTCCGAAGGTTGGATTGGCTCGCCCGACTCATTAGGTGGCTGACTGCATATGAATTCCTGCAGTTCAGCTGTGAAGCGACCCTATAAGAAAAATTACATTGAATTAGTATTTCCAAATTTATATAAAAGTAAATCAAAATACTTAATGAAAAGTGAAAACTTACATGTACAGTCGAGGCTCGGCCCTCGACCCACCTTTCTTGATCGGTCTCTTTTTTCTTCTTTACAATATGAGTTTCCTTGAATAGCTCATCTTGGTTCATCGGACGCCCTAACTTCTTTTCCTGAAAACTTCATAAATTTTAGTTAATAAACATAATAGATATACTTTGAAAATTAAAATAAATTAAGAAATTACGTACCATTCTTCTTTTTATTGTCCCTAGGCTGATCGCACCTCCAGTGTGCAAGGATCCTCCCTTCTCAGATGCACGAGCTTTCTTTCCTTTTTCGCTCTTCTCTAAGAACTTTGCGGTAAGCCATTGCCTTTGTAAATCCTCCCATAAATTCTGAAGCAACCAGCCAGGCTTCTGGTTCAACTTTCTAGCTTTGGAGAAACAATGCGACAACCGTTTGCGAGCTTTGAGATGAAAGTTTGCAGCCACTTCCGCGCTATAGCGGTGTTCCCATACACACTTGCTCTGTATTTCAAAAGTTAAGTATTATATGGAAATATCATAAATATAAATAATTATACCGCTTAAAAGAACATTTATACCTTAAATTGATTNGCCAAATATGAAAGACAACCCTTCCCAACCATACGCTGGGCCTTTAGGAATGAGATCACCCTACTAGGAACATAGTCAGTCACACCACGCCACTCGATCCTCGGAACACCCGGTATAGCCAAGGTGACTGTCTTAGCATGATAGTCTAGAATAGCATGACACGGAGATAGCCAGTCCATGACCAAAATAACATCGAAATCCACCATGCTCAATAACAATAGATCCACTCGGGTCTCCAGACTCCCAATAGTAACCAAACACGACCGGTATACATGGTCTACAACAACCGTATCGCCCATCGGGGTAGATACATGAACAGGTAAAGCAAGACACCCTCGGGTCATACCTAGATGATGAGAAAAATATGAGGACACATAAGAATAGGTGGAACCGGGATCAAATAAGACTAAGGCATCTCTGTGGAAGACTGAAATAATACCTGTAATAACAGCATCCGAAGCAATAGCATCTGTCCTACCCTGAAGAGCATAAAAGCGAGCCTGACCACCTCCCGATCGACCACCAGCCCTGGGGCGACCCCTAGCTGCCTGACCCTCACCCCTAGCTGGCAGGGCGGGTGCTGAAGAAACTGGACCAGAAGATGAGGGCTGACCCCTCTGTTGAGATGAGCTAGCAGCACGACGAGGACACTCCCTCCGCATATGCCCGAACTCTCCACACTCATAGCAACTCCCGGGTGCTGGGAACTGGGACTGAAGGGAACCCCTCGCGCCGGAGTGACTAGCTGATGCACTCGGCCTGGAAGAACCCTGAGCAGATGGAGCACGAGACGAACTCTGTGCTGGAAGAGCGCTGAGAGATGGCTGACTCTGCTGAGAACCCTGATAACCACGACCTGAAGATCCTCCTCGATACACGGGTCGAGCTGACTGAGCGGGCCTGAAAGAACGACCCCGACCCTGCTGGAACTGGCCCCTCGAAGAAGCGCCACTGTAACTACCAGAACCTCGAGGCCTCCCTCTTATCTCGATCCTGACGGCGAACCGCCTCAATCTCTCGGGCTATATCAACCACCTCCTCAAATGTGGCACCCAACACTCGCTCCCTTGTCATAATAACACGAAGAGGATAGGTGAGACCATCAACAAACCTCCGGATACGCTCACGATCTGCCGGAACCAACCAAACTGCATGCCGAGACAACTCAAAAAATCTCATCTCATACTGGGACACTGTCATATCTCCCTGCCGTAGCCCCTCAAACTACCTGCGCAGCTCCTCCCTGCGAGACTGCGGTACATACTTCTCCAAGAAAAGAGTGGAGAACTCCTGCCAAGTCAAAGGTGCTGCACCAACCGGCCTACGCCGCTCATACGCCTCCCACCAAGTGAAGGCAGCTCGAGTAAACTGAAAAGTAGTAAAAGCCACCCCACTGGACTCAAGAATCCCCGCTGTACGGGGCATCCGTTTACATCTGTCAAGAAAACCCTGGGCATCCTCGCCCTTAGCTCCACTAAATATCGGGGGCTGGAGTCTACCAAACCTCTCGAGGCGACGCTGCTCGTCCTCGGGCATAACTGGAACCCTGAACTCCTATACTGGTACCACTGGCTGAGCTGGAGGTGCTTCTAGAGTCTGTAGTCCCTGTGCTACCTGCTCGGGTGTGCGAGCAGCGGGGGTCTGACTGCCTCCCCCGGCCTGTGAAGTAGCTGCTGGTGCTGTGGTGGCTGAAACCACCTGAGCCAGGCCCGTGCACACTGTCAAGATCTAAGCTAATGTCTCCTGAAGGCCAGGAATCACTATGGGCACAACCGGTGCCTGAGCTGGTACTGCTGGAGCCTGATTCGGAACTAGGGCAGTTGGTGGATCAATAGGTGCTTCCCTCGCTGCTCTGCCTCGGCCACGACCACGACCGCGTCCACGGCCTCTGGTGGCCTCAATAGGTGGCACTGGTGGTCGTCCGTCACGTCCGGTAGCTCGTGTCCTCACCATCTGTGAGAGAATAGAATAAGGAGAAGTTTAGTATCCGAATCAACAAGTTCACACGACAGGGGTTTCAAGAATGTGGAATTTTCCTAAAGGTTCTGCAGCCTCTCGAGGAGAAATACAGGCGTCCCTGTACCGCTCCGCGAGACTCTACTAAACCGGCTCATGACTCGCGAGACCTAGTAACCTAGGCTCTGATACCAACTTGTCACGACCCCAACCCGGTCGTGATGGCGCCCAACACAGTGCTAGGCAAGCCCGACCAATTCAACACTCTCAATCCCTCATATAGAGTTCATTACCAATTAACAGAGTTTAAATACCAAATTAACATGATAATAAATCTGTAACAGAAGATAAAATGTATGGAAAACAAGAAATATCACTACAAATCCCACCGATCTGGTGTCACGAGTCAAGAGCCTCTAATACAAGTATGAGGAACAGCCAAAACAAAAGATAGTCTAAAATGCTGAAAGTAAAGAGGATAGAGGGAGAAATCGGGTCTGCGAACGCCATGCATGACCTCGATGACTCTGGTGAGATCTGAATAGGAGCAATAGCTCAATCTACACCTTCGGAATACCTGTATCTGCACACATGGTGCAGGGAGTAAAGTGAGTACTCCGACTCAGTGAGTAATAGCAATAAATAATGACTGACGGAAAGAAATCTCGTAAAAAGCACTAAGCAGTTCTATATCAAAGCAGTAAGAAC